GAATGCTTTGGGGAGTGCACTCCACAGCCAGACACTCCTGACTCCCTGCAAGTGGTCCCAGCTTTTATCCCCAAGCAGACACCTGACCTTTGTCAACTCAGTGCGGGACCCCTGGGGCTCATTTCCCTTATGGCTCTCCCTGCAGGGCCGGCCGCACCCTGGGGGGAAGCTATAAGGCAAACTCACCTCCTCTGTATGAAGGGCTGTGGGAATCACCCATATGTCAACCTTAATTCGGGGGCTCGGGGTTCAAACCCCAGCATTTCACTGGTGGACTTCAAATTTATGAAAATATAGCAGTGCATTTGTTTTGTTTTCTGTCAAGTTATGAGCTTGTCTTTCAATTCTGCCTGCTCACTTTGCTGTTTGAATTAAATGTAGTAGGACCTACAGAACACTTATGGGTGGCAGTTTGTTTATAAAGCAGCTGGTTGCCTGGTGCATGTGCAGGGGCTCATTCTGTCTCGTGGTTTTAACAAAAATGTGTCTTGGAAATAAGAATTGTTGTAAGCTAAATCCTGGTTAGAATTGTTGTGGTTTGTGTTTAGGTTTTCATTTAAAGCAAACCAACACCTCCTGAGGAAGGAAAATACTTCTAAATAGAACATAATATTAAAAATTTCCCAGACTATTTTACTCAAAATGCCATTATGTACCTAGACAAAGTAAATTTCTAATTAATGATGCTTAAGGGCATAGTCAAGTCTGCCATGTAATTAATTATAACAAGATTAAGGTGCCAGAATTTCTCCACTGGAAGTTATAATTTCTCTCAGCAGTAAGGGATTCCTGCAGATGTTTCAGGTTCACCTGTTCTACTTCCTATGGAACAAGCAGCATTTATGAAGTCATCACACCTTCTCTCTAACGTCTGGCGTTCAGGGTGTGAGGGCTCTTACATCTCTTGAAATTTTTCTCAAGAATACATTGGCATATATTTTGAATACCTCAGTTACAAGTCATTATCTTTATTAGTAAACTCTTTTGGAGGGCTGTCTTTTGTATTTTTCTGGAATAGTTTGTTGCCAAGTTTCATAGCTCTGTTGTTTCGATTTTCTTACATCAATTTTATCATCAAATTAAATGCTGGTATGTATTGCAGCAAATAGTGCCTCAGAGATTAAACTTTAAGTATACAGACTTCAAATTTAAAGTGTTAAATGTGAAAATAATTCATACAGTGTTCATTTTGGGTCTCTACAATTTACTTTTAATCACTACAGATTTGTAAAGTCGGTGTCTTAGAATCTTTGTGGAAATGTTTCCATTTTTGTGTCAGTTATTAAATGTTCTTAAATAAATGTTCTTGGTTGTTGATGTTTTCTAGAATGTTATACACAAGAGCAACCAACTGTCAGGAAAACAATGTTACATTCCATTTCACCCACATCTCTCTCACTGTGTGTCTTTGGACCTTTTTTCCTAAATTGGATAACCTGATTTTCTCTACACATGTGCATCCTTCTTCAGTTCTAGTCACCACAGTCCATGGTGGAAGCACAGGAAAGCTGCTGGAGTCTCAGCTTAGCAGCAGCATTGTCATCACTGAAGTTGCTTTAATGCCAGACCAGCAGCAGAGTACTTCACAGAAAATACCTACATTCCTTCTTTTAGTATTCCTAGTTAATGGATAAATGTTATAATCAGACGTTTTGAGAGTGCTTTTTTTACTAGTTGTAACAGTCATATTTGGTGTTGTAAAGAAATCATGGTTTTCATCACTCAAGAGATGGACAGTTGCTTAGCTCAGGATGTCGCAGCTTGCTTGCCTGAGTGGTTTTGTTTGGAATGAATTAAAACGCTTTCATTAGTTGTACAGTACTAGTTTCTGTTCCTGTTCCCTGCTCAGGCTGTACGGTTCAGGTTGAACGACGTAACCTGGAGGGTCACCTGGCGGTGTGCGAGTACCGGAGCCGGGAGTGCCCCAACGGCTGCGGCTACACCATCCTCAGCGCGGAGGACACGCAGCACAACTGCGTGGCGGAGCTGAGAACGGAGCTAGAGCTGCTGCGGTACCCATGCTTCCTTTCCTTAGTGCTTGTCTTAGTCTGGGCCTAAAAGCACTGCCTGAAGCACTTCCAATACTAGCACTAGTATGTGTTAAGTAGTCTTGCTTGATACTAATGGGTCAGCATGGTAATTCTTACTGGTTTGATGATTCTTCTGCTGTCACTTTTTTTGTCCAAGTTATTATAAATCCTAAAATACCGTTGCTTGCAGTTAAACAAAACTGTGAGCTGACTGTATAAAATGACAAAATACCTAAGAAAACTGAAGCTGTCGATTTCATTTCTCCATTGGACTGTTATAGACCTAAAGTCAAATTATTTAATAATTTTACTGAGTTTATGTATTCACAGTCCAGAAGATTAAGTATTTTGGCAGGTACAGACTGATAGATTAAACCTCTGAGGATCTCATTTTCGATTTTTATTAAAATCCTGGCAGATTAATAACAGTTGGTGAATATGACTTTTCTTACAGACATCCTGGTTTTCCCCTTACGTGTTTCTTTAGCTTTCCCTTTCCACGATACTCAAGTTGGACTCTTTTTCACATGTTCCTCCCCATTTCTGTCTTTCAACTCAGCATCTAAGTCTTGTGCTCTTCAACATTGCTGCAAAGCCAGGCTCAAATATGGCTTAAATCCATTGAGACACAGGGGGATTCTGTTCCCCGGTTTCTGAACTCATAAGGTTCTTGTAGTAGCAGCTAGATTAGTTGACTATGTTCTATCACTTAGTGTTCATTATAGAATTGACAAGACTATGTGTTGGGCAATACTATAGTATTCACACTTTTTATCGTGACAGTATCTGTTGAGCAATACTAAGCAGGCATCAACTATAAGTAAAAAGCAGTAAATAATTTTAAGTCACGAACACAAGTGCTTGAACTCATACGATTGCTTCAGGAATATGATACAATTGTCCCCTATATAAGCTGTGCATGGCCACTTTAATGACCCTGGGCATAATGCATTTCTTTTTCTAGTTTTGTTTAAATTAATAAATAGTGTTATCATGCCTCTAGAGGGTTGTCCTGTAGAATATGGTGGCAATCAGATCAGGCTGTTTGGCTACGAGAAAGCTTTCTGGAATTTGGAAGTAATTCTTTTTCCATGCTTACAAGACTTAACGAGGAGAAATAAACTTTTTAGGTCAGAAATGATCTGCAGAGTGGAAGAGGCAAAACATGAGATGGAGTCAAGGTTAGACTCACAGAGGAGGCATATGGTCCAAAAAGAGAGTATTTTGCAAAATGAAATTGAAGAACTAAAGGTAAATACGATAATTTTAATTTCTTTTTTTTACAATCTCCTAACAGTCTAGCTTTTTACTTTTCCTAATAGTAGTCTCTTACTTTGTAAACATAGTCTCATAGAGATGAGAATGATAACTGAGTATGGGAAGGAGAGGAGGTGTTGGCACAGTGCTGTGCCAGGCTGGTCAGCTCTGCTGAGAGGCAGGCTGGGTGCTGTGTTGGGGTGGTTCATCTGCTTCAGAGCTGTGTGGAGCTAAGCCGGGTACCCCTGTAGGAGGCCTGTGCCATTCTGTGCCCACGTAACGTGTCTGCAGGTCAGTCTGAAACTCACCTCCGGTGTCAAAACGTAGGGCAGGCATCACAAAGCAGGTGGGATTAGATACCCAGCTCCTTTTTCAGTCCTGTCCAGAGTGGCTTCATCTGGTGCCAAGACAGAGCCCTGCTGCGTACGACTGCATTTACACGGGCTCAGCTGCTGTCAGAGCTTGGAAATTTGTGCTGTAAACTTACTCAAGTGACTAGCAAGACCGTCTTATCTTTTCATTCCTCCAGTTCTTATTGTATCACAGAATGATGATTTTTAAAGTCCAAAAAAATGGATGTGCTTTATAGTTTACATTTTTCTTTTTACTGATTTTGATGTTAAATCCTTGAAGAATGTATCTGAACATAAGCAAAACCTTAGTTTGGTTGGGATCTGGAAACAGAAAATGTAAGCAGCAACCAGGTAAATCCACTGTTTCTTACAGTAAGAAACTTCTTGTACTTTTAGGAAAACTGTATTGGAATCTTTGAAACAAAACCATCTCAGAAAGTGAACACTGGACTGTGTCTCAAATCCTTTACATTTATTTGTTCTGCTGTCAAAAAATTGTGTCACTGTTGCTTATTCTTTATGATCCATCATCCTACATGCATGGCCAATTCAGCTTCTTACCACCATCATTAGGAAGGGGTTTCCTGCACGGGTTTGTGTTTTGTGTTTGCATTCCAGAGTCAGCTGTCCCGCGTGATGTCAGACGTGCGCTCCCTGATGGCTGCAGAGAGGCAGCACCGTCAGGAGCTGGAGCAGGCAGAGCTGGAGAAACGGGAGCTGCTGGAGCTGCTGAGGGGGCTGCAGAAGGACTGCCGATCGACTACGACAGACGGAGGCCGGAAGGCAACAAATTTCCGCCCTCTGACACGGCTAGAGAGTGTAAAGCGAAAACCTAGGGAGGTTACAGTTATCTAAACAGAAGTAAGCTCAAAAAGCATTTTCTTCTCATGTCTGTGACCATCTGGCAAACTTCCCTACTACCTGTGAAGGAGTGGTAAAATTTGTGTAATTTCTGATTTACTTGTGGTTTGCTTTTTTTTTTTTTAAATCTTGATTACTACTGTACTTCCCTTGAGGCATAAAAACAAGTGGGAGAATTGAAACCAGTAATTGGCAAATATATTTTTAGCTAATTTTTTATAAAAAGGGGGAAAGAGGCTTCATCTTTTACCTCTACAGGATAAAGATTCATTTACAGGAGTCTTTCAAGCCTGAAAGATAGAGCCTTTTAAAGTCAAAGACGCTTAAAGGCTGTTTCCTTCCTGGTCCACTACAGGATGTTTAAGTCTAGTTTCTATGTGAAACAAAGAAAATATGATCATCAGTAATGACATTTGAGATGTACTTGGTTTTGGGAAAAGTCAGTAATAGAGTTAGTAAGTCAGTAATAAAAATTAGTAGATTCTGTTTATAGTCAGTGGAAAGTCTGTTTCAAAGGTGTCAAGAAAGAACTCTAAATTGTATTTTCTACTGTTCTGTGGCAGTTTCAGGCGAGGCTGGCTCTTACTTTAGAGCTTTTCTAATTTCCAGGCTGATACACACTTTAGAGACTAATAGCAGAGCCCAAGGTAATGAGAGTCATCTAAAACCTTTTAAATCAATGTGTGAGTAACTTGGAGTTTGTGGGAGGAGATCTGCATTTTATTTTAAAATGTGAAGTTTTTAAATGTGAAAGTATCAACTATTTCTACTGAGTCCTTTAAGCTTAAGACCAGCCCATTCAATACTCAGTATCTTTAAAGCATGTAGAAATACCCAGAGTATCCTTAATTTCCTTTTGGCAGGTTTAAGGCTACTTACACTTTAACATCACAACAGGTGGATATTTGCACAGTCACTTGGACTTTGGACATTTTTATTAGTACTCAAGTTTGCCATTGTATAAGAGCTAGAATTTTTTTAACAGACCACAAATACTGAGTCAGGGTAGCGTTTTTCTGTAAGGACTGCATGAGAAATCTGTACAGTTCAGAGACTTCTCTAAATTTCTCACACAGCCTGTTCATGTTGGTTTTGGTGTTGTAACGAAGCCATATTCTATCTGTTGCAGCTCTTCAGTGGAGTAATCAGGGAAGAACCTGGCCTCCTGTTTACTGAATGTGCTAAATCAGTTTTGAACTTCCAGGAAAACATGTGCAGGTGCAACATTATGAATAAGCTAATTTTATAGTTTAGAAAGCAAATACATAACTGTGCATGCCTTGCTGTCACTCAGAGCAATGCTTTTATGGCTAATGGCATAACCAAAGAGAGAGACAGCGACCTCTTTTTAGCACATACACTATGTTATGAAGACTTGTGGTCAGAGCTGCCTTAAGTTCAGGCATTAATAAATCCTTCTAACTTGCTGTTTCTTTAGTACCACTGAAGCAGACGTGCACATGTTCAGGTATTCTGCATTTAAAAAGTGATAGAAATAGCTCTTCTGTAGAAGGTTGGGTTTTTTTTATTTTGAAAGAAGAGTTTCATAGGAAGAGTCACATCCAAAAATTCACTTGTTAGGTCACTGTAGCAGTCTCACCTACTCATGATGTAGCACATCTCTTAAGCAGCCATATTTAACAACCTAAAACGGTAGCTATAATTTGGGAAGACCTTCATTCACACTGAACAATCAGTGGTCAACTCGCATACATCAGTGTGTGTATTAAAGCTGTAAGTAGAAAGCAAGGATGCTTTTATTGTGTTCTAAATAAGCAAGCTGTTAGTGTATGTGGTCTGTGTGGCTCTGTTTCAGCATTCACACTAATTTTGAAGCTTCTTGGCAACACCAGATTTCATGTTATTAGAACTAATGGTGCTTTTCTGTGTGCTGTAACTGTGGGGTTCTGTGATGTGACTTTATCTGCTTTGCTTAATGTGAAAGAAGGAAATTACATCAGAATCCTATAGAACTCAGATGAGCCAGATCATCTTTCCCAAGTTGGAGGGCAGTAATGATCACCCAGTCTTTTCTGTTCTCACCCCAGAAAAAGAGCAAGTTATTAGCTCTGTGCTTTCTCCAGAATGGGATCTCTGGATTTGTTTGTTTTAGGGATTTCACCCACTTACTTATGACTGAATTCCCTCAGAGGGGAATTCTCTCAAAGAGGAAATAGGGCTTATTTAATGTTTACTTAGGATTTGGTCTCCAGTCTGTCCCCTGAGTGACAGACGTGCAACGTTCAGCTGATAGCATCAAATCCCTCCAGTTACTCTAAACTTAAGCCTGTTTCTGCACTGGTAAGTGTTCTGCAGTTAAGATTTTCCTCTGCTAATGAACCACTCACAGGGTGGCATGTCCTGAAGGGTTGTCATTGTTTTACTTGTCTTATAATCAACTGGGCTGAAATTAAATAGTCCATTCTGTTGATATTTTATCCACTTTAGCTTTTCCAGTCACCGGTATTGCATGGCTCTTAACAGCAGCTGATAGAAGCAGGGAATTTTTTTTCTGCCTTTCAAATAATCTGTTGATCCTTTTTATAAAAACTAAGGATCCAAATATTGTAGTAGACTTGGTGTGAGTGAAGATATTCACTTGAAAATGCCACATGATCCTGTGCTGTCATGATCCTCTCATGGGATTATATGGGACATGCTGCCAGAAGTGCATTATGGGAGGACTCCAGCAGTGAATTACTGGTATTGGCACTCTCCTGTTAAGTCACACTTGAATCAGTTCTGTTTCCTCACAGGTGGAGCTGTTACCCATGTGGACCAGTAGCCATGGAAACAGTTGGTGTCATTTTAGTTGCTTCTAATAGCATTTTGCAGCTAGAAGAAGGAAAGAGCAAACATTGTGGAGCTCAGAGAACAGGAGTAAGTGTGGGCCAAGGGCCTTCCCTCAGCCCGAGAGAGTGAGGGAGCTGCACCAGCCTGTGCCACCAGCTAGCTCACCACTGCCTGCTGCTAGCTTCTCCCATTACAATTAAAAGGAGATTAAATCTTTATCTGGAATTAAGTGGGTACAAAGTAGTAATACCAAACTTGGGAGAGTCACAATCAAAACTTGGAGAAAGCAAGTTGTTAAGTAAAGGAGACTACAAGGTATTACAAGCACTTCCATATCCTTTTTGAAATTGAGTTAAAAAGAATAACACTGAGGATGTATTTAAAGAAATTAATATTTTAAAGCAGGTGGTAAATTTGCCTTCAAAAGAAAATCAACATGTACATATTTGTTCTGAAGACCCAAGAGGCCAGTTACAAATACATGTAAGCTAGCTCCCTTAAACTGACTTCTCCACTTGAGAGGTCAAGTTCAGGACAAAATGTTGTTTCCCCTGTTTCCCTTTAGCATTAATGCTGCATTCCCTGCTCTCCTCCCAAAGCAAAAAATTGCCCGCGGTCTTGGCCAGCGTGGACCGTTGCTGCTAGGATTCCTTTATCTGGAATGGGAACAGTAATTTTGGGTTTAGATGAATTTCAGCAGAAGTGTGGAGCTGAGAAGTGTGCATCTATGTCAGGTGTGGGAGTGGCAAGGAAGAATTTTGTTGGACTTCGTAATTAAGGTGCTAGTGTGATTCTACTACTAGATGAACAGTATGAGAGAAGTTAATTTAGTAGCACAATATGTGGGAGCTACTTGTCAGGACAGAAGGGAATGGAATGGAATAACAGTCAAGCAAAATACCTAATACAGTGAAGAACTTGGGCCAAAAGTGGTTTCATCTCAAATGTTCTTAGGTGTTTTTAAGTAGTTTTAACGTATCAATAGATCCCAGGTAGCAAACAGTTCCTAAGATTTCTATAAATGGGTAGCTTTGCAAATTAACTTTTCCCTGTGCTGTCCTCTTGGATGATTCTGGCATGATGCTTTTCTACAGCTATTTTACTTCAAAGTGCTGGATAGTATTTAAAAGGAGAAGTACTGGCCTTGCCTTTCTCCTGTGCTGCTTGTCAGATGAAGTATAGTACGTCAAGGAGATTTTACCACATAGATAGATGCCTTTTTAAAGGCCTACAACTCTATGCAACTTTCTATTAACAAAAAAACATTGAACTGTCTTCCAGCATTATGGGTCACTGCCAATCTATTTACATTTTCTACCTTTATATATACTACAAGGATAAATCAGCGCTTAACAGATCTTTCTCTCTGTAAAAGAAACAGTAACACTATTTGTATCACTTTGAAGTACACTTTGTATACAAGTTGAACTAATAAAGGGTCTTTACCATAGTTAATGCAGTTGGGTTCACTTCTTTCTGGTACAGGAGTTTGAGTCCCCTCTTTATCAGATGAAAGAGCAAACTCTAGGTACGCTGAGAAGTCCCAACTAAAGCACAAGCTGGGGTCAGCACACTGGAGCAGCTAAGGGCACGCTCTGCCAACTGCAGGCAGCACAGAGCAATAGACAAAGGAGGCGTTCTGTTGAACAGCTCCCTCCCCTGGGGTTTTTCAATGGATAAGCAGTTTTGAAATCCTAGGTCCAGAACCAAGCTCCTGAATCCAGTTCCCATTTGCCACTGAGTCCAGTCTGGGACTTCCCCAGTGCCTGCCCACAGCATCAGTGGTGATAATTGCCATCAGAGGGGTGGGGTTCAATATTGATTTTGTATATATTCCATTATTTTCAATAAAGCTGGTTTAGGTTTCCTTTCCAATCCGTGTCTCTGCCTTATTCCCTTTTTCTTCCTCTTTGGGAGGGGAGAGGGGTTAGGAAAAAGCATCTGTCATTCGTCTAGTGGCCAGCCCAGCTCTAAGCCTTGCCAGCCACATGACTTGACTCACTCTTACCCCATCCACAGGCTGTGCTTTTACCTGCTACCCAGGGCAGCTGCTGAGCCAGGGGAGCTGGGAAACATTTCAGCCCAAGTGCCTCTCCTCACCCCACGCCAGGGCATGGGCCACAGAGCTCACTACAGGGCTGCAGGAGGAAGAACTCGTCACGGCATCACAGACCTGCCCAGCTTTGCTCACTCCTCCCCAG